TAATGTTATTCCATATGAAGACATATTAGTAAAAAAAAAAAAAAAAAAAAAAAAAGTTAGCCAGTTGCAGCATTTATGGCTTTCTGTGCAAATCAGACTGTTGAAATGGGTGCTGGGAAACTACTGTCCTCATACACTACATGGATTATGAAAAGCATGCAGTGGTGTACTTTTAGACATGACAGATGGAGCCTTGTGCAATGAAATCTACATTTCAGGGCTATTGTTAAGATGCTGCATAATTGTCAAAGTATTAGGTGGTCAAGAAATTAATGTCGAGTTTTGGAACACTTTCATTAACCACCCCCAAAAAACGTATATGACATATAATAATTAAACAAACTGCCTATATAATGTTTAAAGTTTAGTATACTTTAATCCCTTATCGTGATGGCACACGATGAAACACACATTCGGCATGTAATGGTGTTTGAATACAAGAAGGGAAACAATGACTCTGTAGCCACAAAGAATACCAAAGAAGTTTATGGAAATGTTTCGAACGATCATAAGTATCAATGATGGTTCAGCGAATTTCGTTCAGGTGACTTCAGCCTTAAAAACTGTGATGGCAGGGGCCGACATGTTGGAATTGACATTGATGCTCTGAAGACACTTGTTGAGTCTAACTCAAGGCAACACACTCGTGAAATGGCCCTGAAATTCCATGTCTCTCATGAAACAATACGTAAATATCAAAGGAATATGGAAAAACTCCATAAAGATAGATGATCATCGTTTCCAACGTGTGAACGTTGCTTCGTCTCTTCTGGTGCGTAATGTGCGTGAACCATTTTTGGACAGAATTGTCATCGATGATAAAATAGATTCTCTATGCGAATATTAAACACCAAAAACAATGGCTCAGTCGTAGACAAAAACCACTTCCGAGCCCAAAACTTGGACTCCATCCGCAGAAAGTAATGCTTTACATTTGGTGGGGTATCACAGGAGTAATTCATTTCAAACTCCTCAATCTGTCAATGCAGAGATCTAGAGTTAGCAACTAGAACGTTTATATCAAGCCTTTTATCAGAAACGCCCATCAATCGGAAGTGTTCTTCTTCTCCACAAGAATGCAATGCACGTCCACTTGTGACATGTTTGACGAAACACAAGATTATGGAGTTGGGTTGGGAAGTTTTCCCTCATCCACAATATTCTTCAGATATGGCACCATCAGATTACAATCTTTATCGTTCGCTGCAACACCATTTTAATGGGAAAACGTATGCAAAGGTGGAAGGTGTTAAAGAGGACATCGACATGTTTATTTTTTTGCTTCAAAGCCAAGTGATTTCTTTAATCAGGGCATTAACAGCCTGATTGTAAGATGGAAAAGCATTATCGATAGAAATGGAGAAAATTTCATTAAATAAATGTTTTGTTTTGATATATAACTTGTTAGTGTTTTTTCATCTAAAAAAAAGCGATATTAATTTTTGACGACGTAATACTACCGTTGATTATAGTACATTACTATAGCAACGCTCAAACATTACCATATATTATGTTATAATTCTTATGCTTCATTGAAACCAGGGTATGTTATAATTTGGAAGAGTTTATTAAAGAGCTTTTAATGCTTCATTGAAACCAGGTTAGTTTGTAAGTTTTTAGAGTTTATATAAAGGCTTCTTATCGTTTATTAAAATCAGGTAGGATGTAAGTTGGAAAATTACTAAAATGCTTCTTATCGTTCATTGAAATATTAGTACTTTATAAATTGAAAGACTTTATTAAAATGCTTCTTATCATCTATTAAAACTAGGGTATGTTGTAAGTTGGATGAGGTAATTAAAAGGCTTCTTATCAATAATTGAAATCACGGTTCTTGTAAATTGTAAGACTTTATTAAAAGGCTTCTTATGGTCCATTGAAATCAGTGTTGTTGTCATCAGGAAGTGTTTATTCAGAGATTTCTTATCGTTCATTGAAACCAGAGTATATTTTATGTTAGAAGTGTTTATTAAAAGCTTCTTATCGTTCATTGAAACCAGGATATGCTGTTAGTTTGAAGAGTTTATTAAAAGTAAAACAACTGTTCATTAGTATATTTTAGTATAAAATTCAGTTGGTAATATTACAACGAATAAAATGCCATAGAAAATTAGAGTACATATTAGTTAACCAAGCAAAGTAATGAAAAGCGTTTTGATGCTGATACAAGTAAGTGAATTAGGTTGCTGAATATGACTATCAAGAAACTCAAAGCAACGAGACACGTGCTTAATTGGAAAATACATTCTAAACCAGTATAGTTGTATAAAAACCAACAAATCATTTTATCAGCAGGAAGCAGTAACAATTAAATTGATAAGTTGACGAGAAAATTATGGAGTCCAGGGTGTATTATCAAGATGAATATCCCACACAACGTTCGTGGAAGAGTTTATAATTAAGGAGATAATGAAATAAAAACATTAAACTTGAGTCCTACAGAGTGGGGGCGTATGGAAGAAAATACATACAGGGAGAAGGTTGAGTGGCCTGAAATCTAGGCACGTCAGAGACACATATAAGGACGCGCCAAACTCCAAGAATATTAGAAAAGAAAATATATGAGTTAACAGTATGTCCCAATGCTGTTGCGATGCCTTATCGGTACGTGAAAAATAGCCATTTGGAACCCAGGAACAGTAGTTATGGTTTTGGTTTCTTTTAAAACAACGTTAACAACCAAAGAAAAGCCAAGAAACACGTGCTGTGGTTAAAGTTTTGGTTCCACCACCATCATATTAAATAAGTATACAAATCCATAAATAAAAAGAGGAGCGAGAAGAAAATATGAAGAAGATAGCACTTCTACTCTTGAATGGAACCTTTGAGAAGATGTCAGCCTCAGCATCTGTAGAGAACTTTCACCACTCAAACTTCTTGTTAGGTTAAACATCTTCTACTTCATTTAGTAACATAACTAGTATGCAGTATATTGTGATAGAGTATCGCAGAGATGTTAATTAGTTAATTACTAGTATGCAGTATATTGTGATAGAGTATCGCGGAGATGTTAATAAGTGTAGTAGAGGAATTGTTCATGAGACATCGGAATTTGTTTAATTAAATATAATTTTTTTGTTATGTGGTCTCTGAGTTGTTTCTTTGTTCTACACATAACTTTCCTCGAGTTGGTGGCTTGTGAGCCTTACCCACAACTGAATATAACAAAATATTCTGATAATAAATAAATTCATTTCTAAGAATCGTAAGTCGAACCCAAAGAAAAGAGAGAGCTCGTTACAAATTGATGTAGTCAGACAAACGCAGGTTTTGAGACTGCCACAGTATAACTTCTGCTAGAGCAGGGCCACGCAGGTCTACACAGCTAACGAGCACTATATCGCTTTTCTATAGAAAATTTGATGAAGACATTAAGAGTTTTATTGATGCAGTTACTGAGGCTGCTAGAATATCACGTGGGGCAGACGCTCAGAAGGTCAATATACTTAAATTAAGAATAGTAAGTGAGGCAAAATACTATATCCGAGTACATGACGAGCTCACAAAAACTGCAGACGTTCA